TGGGTGTATGTGGAGGGTCAGTGATAGGGTTGGAGATGTGTGTGGGGTTGCGTGGAGGGGTCAGTGATGGGGTTGGATGTGGGGGATCAGTGATGGGTGCGTGGGGGGGTTGGTGTGGGGGGATCAGAGAAGGGTGCGTGGGGGGTTCAGTGATGGCATTGGCAGTGTGTGGGTGTCAGTGATGGGGTTGGTTCTGGGGCGGTTCAGTGATGGGTGCAGGGGGGGGGTCGGTGATGGGGTCGGTGTGGAGGGATCAGAGAAGAGTGCGTGTGGAGGTCAGTGATGGCATTGGCAGTGTGTGGGGGTGTCAGTGATGGGGTTGGTTGTGGGGGGGTTCAATGATAGGTGCTGAGTGTATGTGGGGATTCCGTGATGGGGTTGGGGTGGCAGGGTCAGTGATGTGTGCGTGGTGGGGTCAGTGATGGGTTGGGTATGTGGGGGTTCAATGATGGGTGCTGAGTGTAGAGGGAGTCAGTGATGGGTGTATGTGGGGGGTCAGGGATGTGGTTTGTTGTGGGGGTTCAGTGATGGGTGCATGCAGGGGTCAGTGATGGGTGCGTGGGGGGGGTCAGTGACGAGTGTATGTGGGGGGTCAGTGATGGGGTTGGGTGTCGGGGGTTCAGTGATGGATGTGGGGGGTTCAGTGATGGGTGCATGGTGGGGGTCAGTGATGGGTTTGGGTTTGGTGGGGTTCAGTGATGGGTGGTGGGTATGGAGGGGGTCAGTGATGGGTGTATGTGGGGGGTAAGTGATGGGATTGGATGCGGGGGTTCAGTGATGGGTGCGTGTGTTACCCGAGGTTCTTTCAACCCAAAGCTCTTGGTAACTTTTACCCTGTGCGAGGTGGTGTCAGGAAATAAATCAGGGGAGACACGGCCGTCCGACCGATAGATGGCTGGCACAAACAGGACAACACGAGTGCTTTCACTTAAAGCTAAACTTTACTTAGTCTCAAGCACTTACACACGTCTGCAACAGGTTAGTAAAACACCCCCAACCCTCAATAATTACCGGAGCTGAGTGTGGCTCTCGAATGGCACAGCAGCAGCCTTCCGTTGGCCAAATCTTCCGTCTGCCGGTGGGGACCGCAAGATGTGTCCAGAGGGAGAGTCCCTGAAGAGCCCCTCCTGAGGAGTCCAACTACCTCAAACTTTTTCCCCTTATTTATACATTAATAATACAATGACATGTCAGTTAAAGAAAACTTATTAAGCAAGCAGTTTCAAAGGTCAAGCAAAAGGTTTCCTTCTGATCATCCATTAACCAGTTGTGGTTTTTTCCAGAGTTTGCACGCCTTGAGGCCCTGACAGACACATTCCTGAGGGCACATATAGACAAGTTTCCTATTTTTCTAAAATGCATATATCAGCAATTTCAACACAATTCTTATCAGGAAGGATGCGGGGTCAAGCTGCCCTTTCTGTGGCACCCAAAACCCCCTCCCCTCCTGCCTTGGTTATGTTATGGCTGCTGCATGGCCATTTTACGGCCTGCTGACTTGGCTGCTTTTAGCAATAAGCACTAGTGATCTGGGCACTTTACTGGGTTTGCCAAAATCTCCCCGTACTGTGGGGGCTCAGTGATGGGGTTATATGTGGGTGGGGTCAGTGATCGGTGCTGGGAGTGTATGGGGGGTTCCGTGATGGGATGCGTGTGGAGGGGTTCAATGATGGGTGCTGGGTGGATGTGGGGATCAGTCATGGGGTTGGCGGTGTGTGTGGGGGTCAGTGATGGGGTTGGATGTGGGGGGGGTTCAGTGATGGGTGTATGTGGGGGGTCAGTGATGGGGTTGGGGTGTGGGGGGGTTCAGTGCTGGGTGTATGTGGGGGTCAGTGATGGGGTTGGGGTGTGGGGGGGGGTTCAGTGCTGGGTGCATGTGGGGGGTCAGTGATGGGGTTGGGGTGTGGGGAGGTTCAGTGCTGGGTGTATGTGGGGGGTCAGTGATGGGGTTGGATGTAGGGGTGTTCAGTGATGGGTGTATGTGGGGAGTCAGTGATGGGGTTGGTGGTGTGAGGGGGTTCAGTGCTGGGTGTGGAGGGGGTCAGTGACGGGTGTATGTGTGGGGGGGTCCGTGATGGGGTTGGGTGTGGCGGGGTCAGTGATGTGGCTGGATTGGGGGGGGGGCAGTGATGGGTGCAGGGAGGTGTTTCAGTGATGGGTGCTGGATGTGCGGGGGTCAGTGATGGGTGTCGGGGGGTCAGTGATAGGGTTTGGTGCTGGACACCTTGGCAGTGCTGAGTGCTAGGGTGTGAACCAGGAATTGTTGCAGTGCCCCATGTGCTTTGTTTCCTTTCCGAGTGGTTCTGATCTCTCTACTTATTTCTCCAGATGGGGGCCGGGCAGCCATTTAACAGCCAGTTCCTGCCTCACTCGGGCCCCCGTGGACCCACTGTGCCAGCTGGGATGAACCCTGCCAGCATGGGGGGCGTGATGGGCCCTTCAGCAATGTCTCCCATGAGCATGAACCCCGCCAGGGCCCCTGGCATGACCCCCTTGTATGGAGGACAGAGGCTGCCCCAGCATGGGTACCCCGGGCCCCCACAGAGCCAGCAGATCCCCCGGCAGGGGGTCAAGAGGGCGTATTCCAGTGACGTGAGTACGAAGCAGGGATGAGGCCTACATGACCAGTGGGCAGGGGATTTGTGTCCCATTGCAATTAAACAGCCCAGAGTGACCCCTCATGCTGGGACCCAGCCTGCCGCTGCCCAAGGAGGGGGTCCTGGGCCTGGCTCCTGCCTGGGGAGGCTGGGAGCCCTGCAGCTCTGGAACCTCTTCTGTCCCCTCAGGAGAGACCTGATGCCCAGCTGTAACCCTGAGCTTGCCAAAAGTGATAAGCCAAGAGTTCCCCGGGGCTAGAGGGGAGGGAACTACTGCAGGCCCCACAAACTCCAGCCCCCAGGGTGGAGGCACTCAGTGGTGCTGGGGGCGGCAGCATTTTCAGCGAGGCTCCTAGCTCTCAGCTTCAAGCCTGACTGGGGTGACTCAGATGATTACTGGGCATGGCTCTTCTGGAGTCTTGCTCAGCACTGCTGGGCAGTGAGCGATGCATCACCTCTGTGCTGGCCTCCCAGAGGTGGCTGCATGGGGGGTTCCGCTCTTCGTGCTTTCAGGGCTGTGATGCCATCTTCTCTCTCCCTCTCAGGGTTACCCTGGGCAGCAGTACATTCAGGGGGCCCAGTACCCAACCCAAGCTGCCCAGTATGCCCCCAGCGCACCCCAGCCATCTGCCCCATCCCCTTCATATCCTGGCCACAGGATGCCCATGCAGCAAGGAATGGGCCAGTACCTCTCCGCCTCTGGCTCCACCGGACCATACTACAAGGTACCTAACTGTCAGAGTAACGCTGCAGAGACTATATGGGGGGAGGGTGTTGGGGGGCATTGTACGGGGTAGGATACGGCAGCCTCTACTGGGAGGAGCACATTGTCTTAAAGTTGCCCCTCACCCCCAATTGCTCCAGTGCCCCCTGCTCCAGGAGCTTCTGGGGAGTTAACCCTCTGTCTCCCACAGCTGAACCCCATTGTAGAGAGGGCCCAATGAGCTTTTCTGGGGTCAGTCAGCAAGGCAGAATTGGGAAAAGAACCCAGGAGTCCTGGTTCCCAGGCTCAAGCTTTAGCCCCAAGACCATCCTCTCCCGCACCCCATGGCTCCTGCCTGTACCCCTGACCCATCTTGCTGCCTACACCCTGAGATGAGGCCCCCCCCAGGATGGGGTGAGGAGGCCAGTCTAGCGGGTCTGGGGTGGGCTGAAATCTGAGGACTGGGATGCTCCTCTAAAGTTGTGCCTTGGGGTCATCTTCTTCCCAGCCAACTGACCAGTTCAATGGGCAGAATGCCAGCTTCACCAGCTACAGCCAGGCCTCCATGAACGGGGTGAGTCACCACACCGAGGGCCAGCCCTGGCACCTCCCTGCTCTGGGACCTAAGGGGCAGCCAGGCCTGCTCTGCACCCAGTACTGCCCCCTGTTCCTGTGTCCGCTCTGCCTCCCCTGGTACTGCCCCATTACTGCACCTGCTCTGCACCTCAACCCCAGTACTGCTTCCCAGTACTATGCTCGCTGGGCCCCCCGGGTTCTACCACCCTAGTATGGTGTCCTCTCTGCCCCTATGGTGCTACCTGCCAGTCCTGCATCCCCTCTGTCCCCCAGCATTGCATTCCCAGTACTGTGTCCACTCTACTACACCTGCTCTGCCCGCCAGTATTGCACCTGCTCTGCAGCATCCCGCCAGTCCTGTCCCCCGGAACTCCGCCCACTCTGCCCCCCAGGTGCTACCACCCAGTGCTGCCCCAGGGGCGTGCTTGTTCCAACCCCGAGTCCCCTGGCTCATCTGGCAGGTTGCTCATGGGCATGCCAAGTAAATTCTAGAGGCACCGGTAGCTCTCCCTGCTCTCCAGGGGTCTCCCAGCCTCCCTCTTTCCTTGGCATCTCTGCCCAGAGGAGCAGGCCCCCTACCTATACCTCCCTCCCGCTTTCCCCATATCTCCTGTTCCCCTCCTAGTCCCTAAGGGGATGCGCCCCCTGTGCTAAAGGTCGGGTTCCCCCAAAGGCCGTGTGGGGCTTGCTCTGACGGCCACGGTGTGTTTGTCTCCCTGCAGCCTGGCCGGTCTATGCCTGGCTACCCCAGCTCCCCGCTGCCCGGGAACCCCACACCGCCCATGACGCCCGGAAGCACCATCCCGCCATACATGTCCCCAGGGCAGGACGTCAAGTCTCCCTTCCTGACAGACATCAAGCCCAGCATCAGCTCCCTGCACCCGTCGCCTTCGGGTGAGTCCCATCTGCAGGACTTTGGGATCCAGCCTGGGCGCCGGAAGCAGAGGAGCACCTTCCCCACCAGCTGGGCCACCCGGGCCCATCACCCATGGGTGCTGCAGAGAGCGTGGAGGGGGGGGGATGAATCCAGAGCAGAGGGAAACGCAGCAGCTCCTGGGCTGAGACCCTGGCTGCTCCGCGGCCTCGCTAGACGTGGGCATGGCGGCTCCCGGCCCACAGGGCAAGGGGGAACAGCACAGGGGTCTGTCTCTCTGAGCCGGGATGGAATTTGGGGGGCACGGCCCCTAAAGGGGCAGATGGAACGTTGGGGGACTGGGGGTTCCATGGCAGTTGGGGACGTGGAATCAGGTCGGGGGAGGAGCTAGCAGAGGGGGAGGGGCATCTGGGGCTCCACCCAAAGAGGGGAGGACAGGACGCTGCCCCCTGATCATGTTTGGGAGGGGAGGAAGGGGCAGGGGGCTCCAGGCCGGCCCCATGGCCTGGCGCCCCCTGCAGCTGGTGCCTGTGGTGCTGCGGGTGCGGTGCCTGCCGGTGCCCATGGCCCTGCACCGCTGGCCCACCCCCAGCCTGAGCCCTCCTCCCCCCACCGCAGGCAACCCGTGCGAGGAGCTGCGCCTGACCTTCCCTGTGCGGGACGGGGTGGTCCTGGAGCCCTTCCGCCTCCAGCACAACCTGGCCGTCAGCAACCACGTCTTCCAGCTCCGTGACTCTGTCTACAAGACGCTGATGCTGAGGTGAGGCCTCCCCCCTGGCTCCGCTCGCAGCCCCCCTCACCCCTAGCGCCGGCAGGGGCCCCCCCCCATCCCACTGGGGTCAT